TCCCTGCAGACCCCATTGGAGACAGGCCAGAGCCTTCCAGTGAGGAAGCTGTGAGGCTGCTAGGGGTACAGAGAATGTCCCTCTCTATCTCCATGACCCTTGTGAGGAAAATCCCACAAAGGTGCTGCCTGGGATCCCAACCTTTGTGATCCTGGCGAAACGGCCCTTTGAGTTTTGTCTGCAGTCACTGCTCTCCACGGTCCTCAGACAGAAGTGCAGATGGGACTGGAGTGGTAGATAAACCTGACAAAAGCCAGTGTTGTACTCAGAACCACTTGTCCTGTGACAAGTTGGACAAAGAAAGCTCAAAAGGCTTGAGAGCCCTTCTCATAAAACAAGAGGCCACCTCTCCGCACTGGCTGTTCCACAACGAGGAGGACAGAGCTAAAGAAACAGGAGAGAGCATCTCAGGAGAGTCTGAGTTACTGTCAACATAGTCTTTGCTATTCACTCACTCTCTGTCCATTATTTTGCCTTTGTAATCTGTAACCTTTATAACACCACTGTTCCAAATTAAGACTTCCACAATACGGAATCAAACAGGTAAAACACAAACACTGGAATGTTAGTTGGTGAAATCAATGGTATAGAGATGTGTCAGCTTCAGGTATGGTTGGATCCAGGGCTCACATGACACGAAAAGGGGCCTGGTTTCTCAGTGTTTTAGCTGCTTACTCAGTGTTGATCCTTCTCTAATAAACTCTCTCTCCTCATGGTTATCAGATGACTGCCAGCAGCAACTCCTGGGTTTTTCCCTCCAGGTTCAAATCCAGTGGAAATAAGTCAGCTTGCTTCCCTAAGAGTTCAAAACAGGAGATCAAGACTTGAACTTCTTTGCCCATGTGCTCATCCATGGCTCACATAGCGTGGCCAGGAGAAGACAGAATACTGAAAGGCTCAGTCAGCCCTGTGCTCCACAACCATCAAGCTTACCAAAACACAGACAGAGGCGGGACAGGGTATGTCCTCAAGCAAAGTCAGTGCACTGTTGCCAAAGAAAGGCAAGTTTCTGACCCCAAGGAGCACATGTCCACAACAAACCCTGTGCAACTGAAATTATCCTCCTCCTTAAAAAGGAGTGTTTGGCATAGCAGTTGATATGCTGCTTGAGACGCCTGCAACCCACATCAGAATTTTCTGGGTTTGGGTACTGGCTTTGCTTCTAATTCCAGCTTCTGCTAATGCAGACACCGGAAGGAAGTAGCTGGGTCCCTGCCACCCACCTAGGAAACCTGGATTGAATTCCCAGCTCTCTAGGCTTCAGCCAGGCTCAGCTCCAGCTGTTGCAGGCAACTGGGCAGTGAACCAGCAGATTGGAGATCTCTGATTTTCAAATAGATAAATACAGAAGGTCCCAGATGTTAAGGGATTTGTCTCAAATCCCACAATTAGAATATGGCATAGATTGGATTTGACGCCATTTGTGTGGGTAACATAAAGGATGAGTAGCTGTTTCCCTGGCAGCTGGAGCTGGGAGCACACTCAAAGCAGAGATTAATGAATACACAGAGGCACATGGGTACTGGGGGAGTGGGGAGCCTTTGGGAATTTCAAGTCATGTGCCAGGATGTAAGACAGGGTACCCAACAAAGAGTTCAGGTTCTCTTGTCAGACAGTTCCAGACTCTGCTATCTACCAGCTAGGTCCAGTGGCCAAGGACATAACTGCACTCTCACGTTCATCACCCATGAGAACACGTTCCAGGGGAGGAGGGAGGCTTGGGTAGAAGACACGAGACTAGCTTAGTGTCTAGCACCCAGGAGCTCACCAAACGGCTGCCGTGACTGTGCCAATGACAAGATATCATAGATAACAATGAATGAGGAGTACGGTGGGAGAATAAGATGGAAAGTCAACCCTGGGCCCCCATCAAGCTGAGATGAGGATTTGAGCCTGATTCTCCACAAAAGCATGTGCATGCAGTAAATGTTGACGGGAGGGGTGGTCTGACCAATGCTTGGCTTCAGCTTTTTATTTTTTTTAATTTTTTGACAGGCAGAGTGGACAGTGAGAGAGAAAGACAGAGAAAGGTCTTCCTTTTCCGTTGGTTCACCCCCCAATGGCCACTACGGACAGCGCACCGCGCCAATCTGAAGCCAGGAGCCAGGTACTTATCCTGGTCTCCCATGGGGTGCAGGGCCCAAGCACTTGGGCCATCCTCCACTGCACTCCCTGGCCACAGCAGAGAGCTGACCTGGAAGAGGAGCAACCGGGACAGAATCTGGAGCCCCGATGAGGTGTGCCAGCACCGCACGCGGAGGATTAGCCTATTGAGCCGTGGCACTGGCCTGCTTCAGCTTTCTACACAGCAGTTGCAATGTGTAGCCACGCTGCGGGGGCGGGGGGGGGGAGTCCAAGGTGGGTAGCAGGAAGATAGAAGACCACTCAAACAGGTTAGAGGTGCCAAACCCAATACAAGGTCAGAATTACCAAGGGAGGGTTTTGCTTTGTGATTGTTTTGTTTCTGGAGTTACAACAGATTCCAGGGTTTTTAGGGACAGGAGACGCGTGGGTTGAGGTATGAGCTGGTTTCCTCTCAGAAAGTTATGGGCCCCTTAAGGGACTCGATCCATCTCCCTCCCAGTGATTGGCACTGCCTAAAGGGAAACTAGAATTTTTACAGCAGGAATGCCAATATTAAAAAAAATCAACGTTCTGGTTTTTAAAACCAAAATTAAAAAGTCCTGAAGTTCTTGAGGTGCAGGGTGGAGCAATCAAGTTAGGGTTGCTGGGCTGAAGGAATGAAGAGATGGAGCACAACCTTACAGGAGGTCGATCAGTGCTTCTCTCCCTCTCTCTCTCCCCTTCCAGATTCCCACCAGCTGTGAGGATGTCACAAGAATGTGGTCATCTGCAAACCTCCCTCACCAGACACCAAACTTGCCAACACCTTGATCTTGGACTTCCCAGCCTCTGGAACAATGAGGAAGCAAGCTCTGTTCCTTCAGCCACTGGTCTACTACATTTTGTTACAGCAGCACAGTTCAGACCCTCAGCATCAGGAGAGGCCAGGAGGGGACTTCATGGAAGCTGATCCAACACCCAAGTCTAACAGCCCCCAGTCAGCCCCCCATTCGCGTAAGCACAGGTTGCCTTTGTGCAAAAACCACGTGCACAGATCTGCCTTCGGCCCCCAGCCAGTAAGCGGCCTCTGTCCACAGCTGTGTCCTGGCGGCTCTGGGACTCCAGGCCGTGCTGACTTAAATTGGAACTGCTGGTGTGAACAAGGGTAACTCTATTTCAGTGCCCACACACTCGTGGGTCATTACATTTCCATCCTGTGAATGAACCATAATTCAACCATTTCCCCCATTCTCAGAGGTTTACATGTTCCAAATGTCACTAGTAAATTCAACCCTTTAATGGCCACTTTACGATAAAACTTTTGCTGCTATCACTTCCCACTCTAAAATATCTAACATTCTTTGATGAAACTTGGTAATGGTCACTTTATTGCATTTAAGATACCACATCTCAAGGGTGCAATTGGAGCTTTTTGACAAAATTCCACATCTGTTGATAATTTTAAAAACCTCTTACTAGGAATAAAAGGTGCTTTCCTTAATCTGATAAAAGTACCTATCAAAAACTCCAACAAACATGTTACTTAACGGTTCCATTAAAAGACAGGAATGAGATACCAATGACTGTCATCCCTGCCTCTCTCAACCCCTTAATCAACTCTTCCACACCAGAAGTTCCACAAAGAACGACAAAAAGGAGAAAAACTGCTGCTTCTTCCAGGGTATGGAGAAACATACTCCCATTCACTAATGGTATAATAAATTCATCTTTTAAGGACAGCAATTGGAGAGAAAAGTGATCTCTAAAATAGACATATTCCCTGGCTCTGCAACTACAGCTCTAGGAATGTATCTTGAAAATAATGAAGGCTGGGGCTGGCGCTGTGGCAGAGTGGGTAAGGTTGCCACCTGCGACACTTGCATCCTGTATGGGCACCAGTTCATGTCCTGGATGCCCCACTTCCAATCCAACTCCCTGCCAATGGCCTGGGGAAAGCAGCGGAAGATAGCCCAAGTGCTTGAGCCTGTTTCACCTCTGTGGGAGACCCGGAGGAAGCTCCTGGCTTCAGCCCAGCCCAGCCTTGGCTGTTGCAGCCATCTGGAGAGTGAACCAGAGGGTGGAAGACCTCTCTGTCTGCTGCTCCCTCTCTTTGTGTAGCTATAATTTTTTTAAAAAAAAATAAGAAAATAATAAAGGCTGCACATGAAAATGAAGTAAGTACTCACTTGCTCTCTCCAGGCCTAGCTACAATCAGAGACCACCTATGGAACAAGGAACTAGTTATATTATTCTAGCACAAACACAGGATGAAATACTAGTCACTGAAGACAGTGCCAGTGGGGAGTGTTGGCTGGAAAGACAGTTTAGTGTGTTTAGTGTGTTCAACAACCCTTTAAGAAGGTTAACAGGGTATGCACACATGTACACGTACACACACACACACAGGAAAGACATACATTGTGATTCCTTGAGCTCTGTTTTTTCCACATTTTCTACAACATGCATTGCTTAGACATAATATATTTAAAATGCTGCCTCCAATGATGGCTGTAGGCAGCAAAGTAGCTTAGAAACCATGTGGAGAGATTTTACGAGTTGAGATGGTAGCAACTGTGTGCTTGATCACAGCATGCTATTCATCTGCAATCCCAAAACCAGGAAACTAAACTGTATTCTTATTTTATTAAAATGGTAGATCCAAAGTTTAATTTTGCAAATGCAAGTGCATACACACACTTTATGTAAACTCTACTTACTCACACTCATTGCTATTCTGTCACGTTGGAGGTAGGTCATTAGTCACTTTGCAACTCAGTGATCAGACAGGGGTAGATCAAGCTTTGGGGGCTGTTTCACTGGTTCATGTGATCAAACAGGGGGCAGGAGAAGGGGGTCAGGGAGTGGAGAGAAAAGTGACGGCGAGGGCAATGTGACCATAGTTTTCCATGCACACACTCAGAAAATGGCACAACAGCTTCAGTGAGAATTTTTATGCATATATCTGTGTGATCAGAACAATTCTTCAGAACAACAGCGAGACAAAAATGGAATACAGTGTTCCAAACAGTTACAGCCTGGAAGTGGACATTACAAACCAGGGGGAGATCTGGAGGCTTTTGTGAGAGGACTGAGGTGCAGTCCCCTCCCAACCAAAGTGCTCGGAGGGTACCCGCGCATTTACAATGAACGGCTATTTGTTAAGTACTTCTGGTGTTTGCATACAGTGTCCAAGACATAGGGAAGAGAGCAAGTCCATAGTGGTCTTTGTACATGCTGTATGGTAGAGGCTACTGCAGATTTGTTTTCTAAAGTAGGCAAGGCTCATAAGTTGACCAATTCACATTGTGAATATTTGGTACAATGCATGCACATAATTGGTAGAGAGTGCTTTTCACAGGAATCTGCTGGGTTTTTAAAAACGTGACAAGGTGATTTGATCTTTCAAGTGAACACTATTCATTCAATCAACAAATACTTTTCCCAAACCACGGGCCATCTTGGCAGTTCCCTTCTCAAGTCCAGGGAACAGGTGAGGAGATGCCTGCAGTGCACAGCATGTGCTGCCAACACGGAGACAGCTGCCAGACGGCTCCACCTCGCTGCCCACCCCAAGCCCAGACCCTAGGTGAGCTAGTAAGCTGACTTGAGAGAGGAAGGAACAATGTTCCATTCAATCAGACATCCCTCAGGGGAGCTGACCACTCTGATTCACTGGGGATGGGGGAGAAGAAGAAACTGTGAGGTGGAAATATTCTTCTGTCAAGTTCAGTAGGTGTAAAGAAATCATGTCATTTACCTAAATTTGGAAAATGCAGTGGGTCTCGTCTCCTGCGGGTGGTACCCAAAGTGAGCTCAGCTCTCCACCTACACCTTTCCCAAGAAACAGGCTGTGGCGTGGCGGATTTTAAGAAGCTCTATGCTAACTTCACATGGCACAGAACTCCAGACTGAAACTGCTGTGACTTCTTAGTCATATTTTCCATCTTCGGTTTCTTAGGGTTGGTAAAAATACCATGAAGGGGATAAAATAGCTTTACTCGCTGTGGGTGTCATCCTTGTGTTTGCTGTTCAAAAAAGCCCACACAACCACAGCCTCTATTTGATTATAAAAATGAGTGCCTCTCACAGCAAAAGCCCTCGCTAAAACAGCAGCTTTGGCTTCAGAATTGGCATCCAGTGATCTCAAGTTAATAGTGATTGTATCAACACTATTCCTGACAGCACCGCTGCAGTCTTCCAGGGACAAAGACAGAGATGCTGAGTCCACTCTTCCGATGGTGGTGGGCAGGAGGAGATTGATGAGTGAGCTTTTCATTCAGCCAAATGGCAGGTGCATGCAGCATTTTTAGAAGAAGCTACTCTTTCAGGATAAGGCGGGCAGAGCTGGCTTGTGGATCATTGTCACAGGGCTCTGTGCCATTTGGAGAAAGGTCATTTGAGTCAGGAGGGGGCGTAGTGAGCGGCTTCCCAGGCTTGGTTTGTACCCTGTCTGTAGCCAGGGCATCTGTGCACAAAGAATGTTGAGCTCGCCTATGGTACTAGAGAAAATGTGTCTAAGTCACGTGGAATACCAGAAGTATTTACCATGAGTAACTGAAGTGCTGTTTCACCTCTGTGTGGCTCAGAGTTCCCAACTGCATAGTGGAGACAAGAGGTGCTTTCTCTGACCTGCTGGGACCAGGGCAGGAGTGGACAGGGTGAGAGAGAGCTAGAAAGCACTGGGGCCTTCTCTAGAAAAAGGCAGTGTTCAAGTAACAAAGTACTCCACGAAGTACCCCAATCAAAAAAGCACAAAATTCAAGTAACAGAGTCGCAGGTGCTGTGTTCTGGCTTCTGAGCAGAGGCCTGGAGTGGGGGCTGTGCAGAGCTGGTGGGTTAGTTAGCTGCATGGTTGAGGATGCACAAGCTCCTTGCTGAGCCCATCAGGTGAAGACCAAAGCTCTCCTCGGGAGGAGAAAACGAACCCGGGACAAAGCCTAGTGAATTAGCAAGCGGTTCGGAGCAACTGCTTAATGCAGATCCCGTTTGTGTTGTCTGAGTAAGATCTTTAAATTGGTAATCAACCTAAATTTCAACAGATTAAAGGTTGTCTTCATTTCACAGGTAGAAAGTGAAAAAAGGGCTATTGAGCTCTTCCTCCTATGCTTTAGCATAAGAATAAAAAATAATTTTGAGATTGCTACTGAGGGAAAAGTCAAAACACACAAACAACCCCCTGACAGAGCATGAAGAGAAAAATTAGAACTTTTTTTTTTCTTTTTTGCAACTAAGAAACTCAGTTTCTTTTTATAGTTTCTGTTCTAGAAGCTGGTGTGTGCATGCTTACGTATTAGTAACACCCAGGGAACTGGCAGGTTTGGGGGTGTTGTCACAAGGACCCCGAAAAGCCCTCAGCGCAGGAGGGCGGAACCAGGGCTAACAGTCTAGACATAGAGTCTGCTCTAGAAAGTTCACAATGAAAAACTGGAGAGATGTCATCCTTTATAACCACAGCATCTACTCTGCCATCAGTCATCCAGTGGTTGGAGAAACACCCCTATGTTAGCTCCCTTGATAAAACCTGCAGTTCTAGTGGACAAACAGAACCCTCCCGGAGCCATTCAGCTGGAACCCCTTCCACCAGCAGGCCCAGGGGAGTCCCACGCAGAACCTCTGGGAGACATCACCGTTTCTTAGAGCCGCTGGTGCCACCGCCAGGCCTGCTGAAGCTCCTGCTCATCTGAGGGAAGTGCACGGTTGGGGTTCTTTCTGTGGGACCGTATAATCCCAAATTCCTGGCCGTGGCTGATTTCCGCAGCGGCTTGACACTGGGAAAAGGGCTAAAGATGGGGGTCTTCGAGTTGCTACCTTGAAGGGGTTTGCTGGTGGCTTTGTTCTCTCCAGGGGCATCAGGCGGTTCCGGGTACTGCCGCTGGCGGGGCAGGGGCACCCGGGGCTCAGCATCCGCCGCAGCATCACTTGCGTCCAGGTCCAAGGCTTCCAACTTCACCTGCACTGCAGACACACCCACCTCGGCAGCGTCCCCAAACACTGGCTCCGGAGAATGCCCTTCGATCGTCCTCCGCGAGCCGCCCTCAGAGCTGCCGCCTGCTCGCCCAGCTGCTGTGGCGCAGCTGGCGGGAAGTTCCTCAGCTGCTCCCCCGCTGCTGGGCTTACAGCCCTCGGCCTGCTCCTCGATCAGCCCTATGGTGTCCCCGCAGCCAGGGTGACTCTTGGTCCTGGGCACGCTCTTTTTGTGGACTCGGATGTGCGTCCGCCACGGAGAGTTGAGCTTCGTCTTAAGGTCTTCGTAGGGGACGGGAGATATTTTGCCTCCTGTGTGACCAGGAATGTGGATGACGGCATTTTTGGCAGCCCTGTTGGTCATTTTCATCTTTTTTCCTAAAAGGAGGTGGTTTATAACTGGAGAACTGTTTACCTGAGATGGGAGAATGCTGGTCACTGGCCCTTTGTCTGAAAGAAATGTTGAAAGGTTGTGTGAAACGGACCACAAAGAAACAAACACACCCATCAGGCAGAGCCAACACGGAAGGCAGAGTCATGTGACTGAAGGCAGCAGAAACTGAATTCCACCCTACAGCCTGGACACCAATTCTCTCCTCTCCAGAGAGAAGACAGCAGGCTAGAGAAGGCATCAAATGTACATGAGATAAGTGGTTTGCAAATGTTTCCTCGCGGGCCAAGTGTTGCTACGCATTGGGGCATTCCAACTGAGCGTGTTACAGTCCCAGCTCCTCCACTTCCAATCCAGCTTCCTGCTAATGGCATGGGAAAGCAGCAGCAGACAGCCCCAGGCGCTTGAGCCCCTGCCACCCACACGGGAGACCCAGATGTATTTATATGCTCCTAGCTTTGGCCCGGCCCAGCCGTAACTGTTGAGGCCATTTGAGAAGGGAACCAGAGGGAACCAGTAGAGAGCAGATATTTCTTTCTCTCTCTCTCTCGCTCTCTCACACCCCCCCCCCTTTAATGCTGCCTTTCAAATCAATATTTTTTAAAACAATAAAACAAAACTCAGAGACTCTGATTCCCTATTACTAATTAAAGCCAGGATCCATAATTTAAAAAAAAATTTTTTTAATGTGAAAGGGAGACAGAATGAGACAGAGAGAGATCTCTCATTTGCTGTTCACTCCCCAAATGCATACAATGGCCCTGGGTCAGGCCAAGTGCCAAAACCAAGAACTATGAACTCAGTCCAGGTCTCCCACATGGGTGGCAGAGATGCAACTACTTGAGCCATCACCACTGCCTCCAGAGTCCACGAGTGGAAGTTGGGGATCAAACCCACACACTAAATAGCTTAAGTGCTGGCTAAATGCATTCCCTGTTCCCACTAATTTTTTTTTTACAGTTTTTGTCTCTGAGTAGCAACCTCAGAGGTCTTTAAAATGCATTAAAGTTTTTTTAAATAACATGGCAAATATGATGACCCCTGGATTATCAGCTATTAGCTCTGAGAGGCCAGGAAAGAACACACTGCATATTATGAAGTGAGAAAGAGCAGACAAGAAGCACAAGAAGGTAGTGAAAATGCAGAGTAAGACCCAGTGGCCCTAAGTCTGGAGGAACAATCCTGAGTCCTCGCTGGACTTTGAAAGTCGGCTGACCTTTTCCTATCAAGGAACAGCTTACTACTTTATTCTTTTTACTGTTTTCTTTTTCTACTTAATATCATTGGTTGAACTCTTTCCTTAACACAGAATTATTCATAGGTGTTTAAATCCAATTGAAAATTGATCCCTGTTAAAAATAAGAGTGGAGGCCGGCGCCGTGGCTCAATAGGCTAATCCACCACCTGCGGCGCTGGCACACCGGGTTCCAGTCCCAGTCGGGGTGCCGGATTCTGTCCCGGTTGCCCCTCTTCCAGTCCAGCTCTCTGCTGTGGCCCAGGAGGGCAGTGGAGGATGGCCCAAGTCCTTGGGCCCTGCACCCGCATGAGAGACCAGGAGGAAGCACCTGGCTCCTGGCTTCGGATCAGCGCAGTGTGCTGGCTGCAGTGTGCCGGCCGCAGCGGCCATTGGAGGGTGAACCAACGGCAAAGGAAGACCTTTCTCTCTGTCTCTCTCACTGTCCACTATGCCTGCCACACACACACAAAAAGAATAGAAATAAGAGAGGGAGGAGATGTACAGTTTGGCACATGCTCCTTCAGACTTACCCCTAAGGATAAAGCTAAAAACTTGCCATGCAACTCCAAATCCCATTGAGTTGGCAGGTACCAATGCCATCTTACTAGTTAAAGTGATCAGTTTAAGTTCATAACTGATCATAAAGTAGGATTAAGTGTCAAAAGGATCACATAAATAAGACCAGTGTCTGCTAATAATAATTGACAGAATTAAAAAGGAGAAAACGAGCCAACATGGGAAGCAGGCCACACAGCAGAGTCATAGAATGACAAATGCCCTAAACAGCACTCTGGCCTCAGAATCAGCCCTTAAGGCATTTGGATCTGGCTAAAAAGCCCATGAGAGCATTTCAGGCATGGAAATCCAAGGCACTGTGGCAAAAAATGACCTACATGAAAGATCTCTGTGAAGGATATCCCAATGGAAAGAAGGGGCCATCAAAGAAGGAGGTACCTTTCTCTGAAGGGAGGAAAGAACTTCCACTTTGATTATGGCCTTGTCTAAATAAGGTCAGAGTTTGTGAACTCAAGAGGCTTCCACAGCCTTGGTAGTTCACGACAAGAGCCTCGGGTGATCACTGATGTCATAAATAAGAGTGTCAGTTGTTAAATCAACAACAGGAGGTCACTGTGCACTTGCTCCCCCTGTAGGATCTCTGTCCTTAATGTGTTGTACTATGAGAATTAACAGTAAAACTAGTCTTCAAACAGTACTTTATACTTCGTGTGTCTGTGTGGGTGCAAACTGTTGAAATCTTTACTTAGTATAGAGTTGATCTTCTGTATATAAAAATGATTAAAAATGAATCTTAATGAAGAATGGGATGGGAGAGGGAGTAGGAGGTAGGATGGTTAGGGGGTGGGAGGGTGGGTATGGAAGGAACCGCTATAATCCAAAAGTCATACTTATGAAGTTTATATTTATTAAATAAAAGCTTTCTATAAAAAAAGAAAGTAGGCTGAAAATTGGCAAGCACCAGAAGTGGTGTTCTGGGGTGCACCATGGACAATGAGAGCTTCCCATCTGGTGGCCACAACCAGGCTCCCACATCTGATGCAACATTAAGTACACATGACTCACGGTATGATGGCAACACCCAGAAGAAGTGGGTAGAAGGCCCTCATTAATGTGATGGACACCCTTTCCCTTTGATGTCCACAGAACCTGGTAGAACTTTCTCCCACCCTTCCCTACTGCTGCCATCTCCTTTAGTCATACCTCAGTCTTTACTGAAAACTTTGGCAACTGCCTCCCATTTGGCCCATACTGAACAGAAGGTTACTTTACCTCTTCTAGGTTGGTCCACCCAGTAACCTATTTTAGCTCCTCAGCCTTCCCAGCTCCCACCTTAAACCCTATCACTCAACTCTTCCCTATGTGAAAAATATTTCACCCCACTGTTCCCCACTCTGACTCTACTAGCTCTGAGGCTGTTGTTGTAAATGCACCTGGTACTGAGCCACAGAGACTTTGGGTCCCTTGATCTCTCAGCCTCCTCAGAACTTCCCATCTCTCTTTGGCTCAATTACTCTCCCTCCCTGCTCTATACATGGCTGATCACTTGGGCCACTGCCTCAGCAGTAACTACACGGCACGGGCACCTCTGTAACTCTGTCACATATTCCTTACAAAACCCAAACCCTGCATCTACAACTTACATTCTCTTTTCTAAAACCAAGTCTTTCAATTTCATGACTTCCTATTTTGCTAGGCCCTCAACCTTGCAAAAAATCTTTTCCTGGGGCGGAGCCAAGATGGCGGAATAGTGAGGGCTCGCACCGATAGTCCGGGAAAATTTAGTTTAATAAAAGGGGAGTTACGGTAGCCTCAGAAAAAAGAACCAGGAAAATATTGCAGACAAAACTCTTCTGGATCCAGTGGGCGTGAATCGGAGGACCTACTGGGAGAACAAGGTTGCCCACCGCACGCGAAAGCCGAGCAGCAGGACCGAGCCGCGGGACTGAGCCGCGGAAGCCGAGCCGCGGGACTGAGCTGCGCAAGCTGCAGGGTCTGCACGCTCGAAGGGGAGTGCAACAGCGGGGAGACTTGGGACGTCCAGGGCTCCGAGTCCACACATCGGCGCTGGAAGGGGAGCAGACCTGCGTGGAGAGCGTGGGAGCCCACAGTTCGGGACACCAGCGGCAGACTCAACACACCAGCGCTGGAACGCGAGGTGAGCCGAACCTCAATAACCCGAGACACCGGCAGGCAAGCGGAGAGAGGAGACTAGAGGGAACGACCCCCGGGGCGGGGGGGACTTCACCAAGCTAACTGGAAGAGAGAGAGAGGGAAAAAAAAAAAGGTGACTGGTACGGACACGGGTTTCTCTCTCTCCGCTCACCTCTCAAGGGCGAGCAAGACAAAGAGCAGGCGCCATCTTGGACATACGTCATAAGCAGAGCGACCTCAGGTCTGCACCGGCCCTGAGCCTAGCAGTAAAACCTGACTCTGGGTGGGGCGAATTAACAGGAGATTAGGACTTAGTAAATTTATGGTGCTACTGAACTGAGACTGTGAAAAAAGAGACGGTGGGGGAGAGAACTCACGGAATTCACGTGAGCACTCTCCAGAGACGCTACAATTCCGTAACTTTGGCAACCCAGTGGGAGACTGAAGGAGAATTTGAGCCCACTCTAAGGGCCGAACAGATTCCCTGTGTGGTCCTTGGGAAAGAGCTTCTGATCTCTGCTCCTGTGGGTATATCATTTGCCTGCTAACTACCTCCAACTTTGTTCAGCTGTGCAGAATAACTTCCCTTTTGAATCAAAAAAAGAGAGAGAGAGAGAGAGAGAGAGAGAGAGAGAGAGAGGTTTACCACGCCTAACGTGGGAGTGTCACCTTTGGCACACCAAACAGAGCTCTCAGGCCACACCCATCTCAAGCCCTAAGGCTCCATCAAAAACAGATAGTCCACTTAATCTAGAGTCATAGTATAACAAGAAAAAGCACCACAGTGAAGAAACCAAATATCTCCAATATGACAAATAACAAACGCAAAAACCAAGGTAATAAAAACAAGGAAGTCACCATGAAGCCCTCAAATGAAAAAGACACCCCAATTCAAGATTATGAGGATGATGACATAGAAGAAATGCAAGAAGCAGATCTCAAAAAATTGATAAGAACATTAAGAAGTTCTCAAAAACAAATTCTTGAACTACAGAAATCCTTAATGGACAAGATAGAAAATCTCTCTCGTGAAAATGAAATATTAAGGAGGAATCAAAATGAAACGAAACAACTAGTACAACAGGAAACTGGGATAGTGACTGAAGTGAAGAATTCAATAGATCAAATGAAAAACACAATAGAGAGCCTTAC